CAACGTCTGCTCTCCTGCATCGCTAGGCCCATGAGCGGACGGAGCGCTGCCGAACGATCGCTCGTGGAACGCACCCAACGACAACGTCAGTTCAGCGGTAGTCGTGAGCCAGCCCGCGAGAATGCGTGCGCTGGAGCCAGCAGCCCGGGCGTCGGAAGGTGCGGACTCGCCCGCTATGCGGACACAGCAAGGCCTCGATTCCGGCCGCTGGTTTCAATCTCGCCTCCATCTCCTTCAGTCATCCGCATGGAGTGTCGACTGCAGCGTCGGCAATAGAGCTGGTCTCGATTGCGACGGCGTCGATTCTTCCCAGAACGCAGGACCCTCAGTCGCGTAGACGGGCACGGTCCTGCTCGCACGAGGAATTAGCGCACTACTTTGCACGTAATCAATCCCCAGAGCGTGCCGACGTGTAGCGCTGGCGGGAGGTAGCGGATCCGACGTCGGGCAGCACGACGTTGCGTCGCGCTATCGCGCTCCTCGGTCGACTGGCAGACACGGAGCTACCAGATACACCGGTGATAGTTCCTGGATCAGGCGCCGCTTGTTTCGGAGCCGATCGATTTCCCCCTGGATACCAGCTAACTCGGACCTCAGTTGATCTTCAAATGAATCGGCCATGGACGTATTTCCTCTCCGCATAACAATGCGTCCAGCGGAATCGCTGCGTTGCTTGGGTCACAACCGGCTCCACTGCCTTGTTAGTATAAGCAGAGTGTCAGCGATGCCGTCAAGTATCAATCCGAGCCAAGTGAGAGCTTATTGTCTATTCGACGGATCAATCGATCTTCGATCAGCGAGAGTTCCGCCAGAAATACACGTGCGCGCTTGACTCCGGATTGTCTTGCGACACTGGCAATCACATCTGTACGCTCTAGCGATCCCTCTCCCGTTCTCAGTAGTGACAACAATCCACCGCAGTTCACGTTGTGATCCTGCAAACGACGGTTGTGCGCGGACGGCTTCGGCCTTGGCTCCTGCCGCGAACAACGGACGCGCCGCGCATAGTGTGGCCAGCGGACACGACTGACACTTGGGCGTCGGCGCACAGACCGTAGCGCCAACGTCGTCACCGCCGGGTTCCGTCGCGTTGCTTGCTTATCTCTGGTAGTAGCGCTGCCGAGGCCAGTCGGATATGCGCAAACGAGAGCGTATCGCTCGCGCACGGCTGGAGGTCGCCGACAACACACGCCGAGCGCGGCTACGATGTGCGGGTGTCGACCTGCGGCAGCCGGCTAATCCCGTGGCCGAAGTTGAGGACGCTATCGCGTGCTCGTGACGCGGCCGTACCCCGGTAGTGATTCGAGCGCAGCGCACGGTCTCGAGGCAGTTGCCCGTCGTATTGCTCGTCAGACGATCCGAGCTGTGCGATGCAGGTAGACCGCTCGTCTGGATAACCGCGAGCCCATACTCGAATCGCCTCCGCGCTCGGTCGCAGGCGCGAGACTCTCACGTTGGAAAACGCCTTCATCCAGCGAGCGTAAATTTCTACCACCCGCGACATCTGGGTCTGTGCTGCGCGGCGACCGCGGCGACCAGCGCGGTCATACGGAATATCTCGGCGCGTCTTGACGCCGGGAAACGCTGCCTCGTGCTCGCCGTACCAGCGCAACAGGCGTTGGCGGATCGTTTCGCGAGGCTTGCGCTGAGAGCGGGCGCGGCAGTTCAGGTTCGGATAGCGCGCGCGGCCATACTCTCGCAAGTCAGTCCGCACATGTCGTCGTACAGTTCGCGGCCGACGGCGTGCCGTGACAGAGACCCGGTAGCCGCTTCGCCTACTCGCGCCAGAGAAAAAATCGACCAGGCCGGTCTCCGCGAGCTTGGTCAGAATTCGGTGGTATCGGTGTGTCGCAATGCAGGATGAAGGATCAGGTTCGTGCTCCGAAACCTCTTCCGCACCGATGACACGCTGCGGATCGGGCGCGCGTTCTTGAGCGCGCGTCAGGTCTTCCAGGCATGGCGCAGTGAGTACGCGTTCAGCCGGAGGCTGTCGGAATGGCCAATCACTGGTCGGCGTGCAAAGATCAGTCGCAAGGCTCGTCGATTGATCCACTCGATTGATTGTTCGGTTGAGCGACAGGGGAGTCTGAGTCGGGTGGTGACGACTGAGACGTCGCCGGCAATCTCAGCGCGCGTCCAGAATCGACATGGTCGTAGACCTCATGCGGCACGCCGCGGGCAGGCCGGTCGGATATCGGTCCGGGTGATGGTACTGTCGAGCAAATCATCGCGACGGATTGATCACGTCACATGACTGGTCGAGACTGCATGGCGTCTTCACAGAGGTCTGGCGAGGGCGTGACCCCAATATGGTCTGTCCGCGGGCAAGGAGTAGCCGGCACCGCTTTCTCTCCCGCCTGCTGGAAGAGGAAGCAGGCCAACGCGTGGAAGCCGCCTGATGCTACATGTTCGGAGCGCGAGAGGGCGTGGCGGGCCTGCGACACCCAGCGCTCCGAGTAGCTGCGGGACTCACACGAATCACACTCGTCGATGAGCGAAGTTCGCTTAACAATACCGCATCGTCTAGCAGAGCTCGGCAAACTCCTTAGGCCGTGTAGACAATGAAGCTCGTGACGAGCCTGCGGCCGCAGATGAGCTGGAAGAAATCTGAGAGCTCGGTTGGGTTGGAACGGCTGCTCTGGGTCTCGTGGACGAATGTCAGAAGTCGAGCGCAGACTCGGGAGCTGATCTCGTTGCGGGCGAGGTCGAAGGCGAGCCAGAAAGCGCTCGCGCGCGAGCTGATGGCATGGAGCAGGCGATGCGAGAACTTCAGCCTCCCAGATGGCGGCTATGCTGGCGACCGAAGGAACCATTGGCCATCGGCTTCGCCCGCCTCGTGGTGCCGTCCAGAGTGGACGCCGCCTGAGGCTTAAGGGGGGGTCATAGTACAACGTGGCGCCCAGAGCGCGGCTCCGGGATGAAACATCTGACTACCGGGGTCAGCGGCTCGGCGTCCCTTGCGAAGACCGCACTCGAGTTGCGATCCAGAAGTCGGCAGAACGATATAGCCTGGCGTCGTGGTGTGGTCACGCCTGCCGGGAAGCGAAGATTTCTGCGGCTCGAATGAGGTCATCTCGCGTAGCCGCAGCCGGGGCTCTAGTGGTGTTGAGGCATGTAGTCCGCGACCCATCGGTTGCGTGGCGGCGCAGTGGAACGGGAATGTAGACGTAGTAGCCCACGCCATTGTCGTATCATCACGACGCGGGCTTGTTGCGCTCGGCGATGTAAAGTTAGCATCGATCGTCGACCCAGCGACCGCAAGGAGGACGGCTCCGCAGATTTGTAAAGGAAGGCGAACAAACGTAAAAGATCTGGGACAGTCCTGCGCACAGCCTTAGTACTGGTTAACATTATGGATCAGGCTCCTCTTCTTTCGAGTCTATAGGAATGCGGACCGCTCCTTAGGAGGAGATAAACGCGTTCGTGTGCTCAGAAGTCTAGCACAGGCTGGCATGAGTCCCTGACTGGTGTGGTTTCTATATGGTCGATGGCTTAGTTCAAAAAGTGGGCGGGTGTAGGAAAGGGTGGGAGTTCATCTTGCTTCGCGCTACCCCCAAGTCTTTAACGCTATACTCTGCCCCTAACCATATCATATTCTCCTTATATATCTTGTCATCACGATGTATCTTATGTGACATCCGAAATACATAATATCCGTTGGAGGCTCCTTGTTTGTATCGTTTAGGCATTAGTTGGTCGTTCTCCCCTGCCCAACATCTACTGGTATCCTCTCCTAACTCTCTTTTCCGGGCCGCATGACCTTGTATAGCTCAGTGTGCCGATTCTGACGAGTATGAAGGCACAGGGCTTTGCGGGATTGGGGGAAGTTGAGATATCGGACGCAGCCGGGAGTAGGAGAGGTAAGTTGGTGCAGGGAGAAACCGGGAGAACCCAAAATACTTGACGAACTATGAAACGATTGCACCTTTGCTTTGTTGCGATTAACGATGGAAACTCCCCCATCTCTACGTGCTCCTCAGCTTGTACGAAATGAACCCAAGCCCTCGTTCAAAAGAACCTCAACCCGTTCGACGCTGCAGTCTCAGCAGCGAAGGACGCATTTTCCTCCAATAAACCACCCAGGTCCTCATCAGAGACATCTCACGACCGTAGCTAACATGGACGGACTTTCTTCACAACCACTGTTACCGCGCTCGAGAAATTTGCAGGGCCAATGTCTCCCCACCCGGTCTGTACTGCTTACCCACTCTGACACCCGTCTAACTAATTAGTATACTAACGAGTCCAGAACAGCCCACCCATATCGCCCTACAATTTATAGCACAAACCGCCCCTATATTTAGTGACTTAGGTGAGTGTACCACTGGGCCACCTCCTTCTCACTGTACACTTCCCATTTTCTCTTAATATAACGCAAGGAGTCGTATAAAACGCTCTTATACCTGCCTGCAGTGTCTGTAATTAACCATTCTCTATACATAGAACCATCTAGCAGGGCTTCTACCACAATGCATCGCCACCGTAACACCCAATTTTTCCATGCTTAGCTCGCTAATTCCTTTTTCGGCAGCCGCCCCCCGAAACACTCCTACGGTTCAGCAAACCCGCAATCACCACAAGACGGCAACTACACGCTTCCCCGCGCAGCCATTGGTAAGGCTCCCTAGGACCATGTAGGAACCCATTAAGATGCAAGAGATACCGCTTTTCATACAGTTGGACCATCAAGGACAGAGAGAGCGCCCCAAAACATAAATTCTAGCAACAAAGCTTTTACCTAATATAAAGACTGACCATCCACCGTTGTCATCGATGTAACCGCGCTAACATCCATGTCAGGAACAAAACGAACTGTTTCACGAACTCAACGCGTTCTCTCACGAGGCTATCCGACCCCACCATTTCAGCCGTACCCCCATACGATGTTACCCCCCATGTAATCCCATTGAACTACAAAATAACCCGTCCTACGACCTGATTATCTTCCCTTCTCGCCCAAGTTGAATAGTAATATAACGTCGGATAGTCCAAATACGGAGGAAAATTTATCTACAAGACAAGCAGGGACTACAAAACTGCGTACATATTGTTTAGCACATTTATAGACTTCTACTGCACATAATAAGTGGCGTGACCGCCGACACGTGCAGTGAGCATTGCATATTATATCTGCACATTCTCATTGATGTTCACTGCAGCAATGGTGCGCTGGAAGAATGGTGTCGCGATTTTCAGCAATAGAATATATATTCAGCAATAGAAAGTAAATCATTATGTCTCTGTTATCATCCTATACAGAGCCAGAAATAACTACATCACTAATTCTACGATCTCAGCTACAGAGTCAGCAATAAATAATTTGCTCTCATGTTACAGAGTCAGCAAATTGTTCTTTAAGGGTTGGTTCATTGACTTCATCCGACTGGATTAGTTGCTACGTCTGCACACACATAACCATCATTTGCAAGAAACCTCCTTGTTATCTCGTTAAACTGCTCCTCTAGTTCTGCAAATGTTTCGAAATTGAAGAGATGGTACTCGTCAAGCTCCAAATCATCCTCTCGCATGCATTCAAGCTGTAGGTCATCCCGGTTTCCAATCCCAATGGCAAATGTATTGACTCCCCTGCGTCGGTGGAGGCAGCGGATTTCAGTGCAGACATCAAGGTTCGGATCGTTTGCCCGTCCATCAGTGACAAATATGACATTCACGCATTCAGGGGCAAAGTCGTTCAGACAATCATGTGTGGGGTTGAGCATATACTCACAGGCACACTGTGCAGCACCTGCAGTGTGCGTCCATCTTGTTCCTGGGGGCTGTCCTTCACGAATGTATGGGATAGATCTTATGTCATTAGCGGCTTCTAGAAGTCGATTACTTCCATAATCATCAAAGCAAAATTCTACGTAGTATTCGTGGTCAAACGTCATCACAGCAATTTTTATTGTGTTGCAGAACAAACTTGTCAAGTCTGCAAGTACGTGTGTGACGTCTGGAAGTTTGCTTGTCCAACGCTCCCTGATGTATCGAGGACGAAGAGAATGTGCTGAATTTCACTTCCACAGCTTTGTCGTCTGAAGCGTGACCCATGCTCCATGAGGTTAAAAGGTATTGCATCCTTTAAAGGTTGAACAGTGTTCGATCCACTGATAGAGGTTTGGGGAGGATGATAGCCGTTTGTTGAGTCGTGGACTTTTTAACTCCTCTCTTACAGAGCGGCGTCCTGGGCAGTGAGTAATGAACTTTAATATTAAGTAAAAGTTCCGTTTCCAATTTCCAGAAATTTGCGTGATTAGCACTTTTAGCAGACTTATATTCAAAATTGGAGCAAGTGGATGATAAATTTGTGAACCTTTCAATTGATGGGCACTTTATATTATTACCAAAATGGTTCACAAATTTGTCACCCTAAATTTTCAGGGTACACAAATTTGCCGCCCCTTAGTATGGATAGTATTACACAGCCTCAAAATTTGTGAACCCGATTCCGAAGTTTACTTGCTAAATTGTACATTTGCTGAGTGTACTTGTTTTTTTATATATAGGTTTTTGAAAATAAGAAACGGAACTTTTACTTGAGACCTATTCATGTATAGATGAAACTTTAACATACCGTGTGGTACGGTCATTGGGATACAAACTCGTTCAGTGTCTCGTGAGGGTCTTGTCTGTATTCAGATTGACAATGAGTCAAAGGCGTGCGTAAACTAATTAGCAGATCGGGGGGTCTACTGCTGCCACAGCCAAGAGACAAGATGATGCGATCAGCGAGGTCTGGTTCACCTGAATGAGTGAGTTTTCACAATAAAACTGAGTTATTTCACATTCCATTGTACTTACAGATTGTTTTGTTTCAACAATATCTGACACTCCCCACTGATGCGCCGCTGTCTTCGTTGGTAAGTGAGAGCACTCTCGGACGGGCACTGGAAATCGGGCACAGCTGTGCGGTTGATGGCCAACCAGTCACTCCACTCACTGCGGAGACAGTCACAGTGAGTGAAGAGGTGGGAGAAAGCAGGCAAGCGACGGAGAAAACTGTCACATGGCAACGGGCCAAATGCCGAGCCAGACACGGCAGTGAGCCCATAAAGAGCTAAAATGACTAGAACTGTGAGGCAGCGCATCACCAACTTTGCTTACACCAGTTTGGAAAGTGTTTGGTGATGTTGTGGAAAGTGCCTTGCTTCTAGCGCTTTTATATGCTAGGAGACCTTCAAGCTGAAAGTTATGTGGGTGGCTGTTATGTACAAGATGAGAGTGCTGTAATAACTTGGTGCATTGATGTAATGAAAGTTCAGATGGAAAGGTCATTGCAGTGGAAAGAGTAGGGTCATTTTACATTGTCAGTGGGGATTTAGAATAACAGATGAGCACTGTAAAAACAATCAGGGAATGACCTCCAAAGAGACTGCATTCCATTCTAGAGTAAAGGGTAATTGATGTATAGATAGTGCAAATGGAGTTAAGAGTAAAGGTTAATGGATGTGGATGGCCATACATTAAGAATTGATGATAGGCCTTCCAATCTGTGGTGGATGTGTAATGAAAGTTTATAGTATCACAACCGAGAGTGCATCTTATATAGTAGGCTGCAGATGTTTTGGGTACCATTATAGTGGACCAGTTTAATGGATTGAATGATGTGTAGAAAGTGTAAATGGATTAAGGGTAAAGGTTGATGGCAGTATAAATTCCAATTGTACTAATTGAAGGCATGTATGAGATGTAGAAAGTGTAAAAAGGATAATTAAGCAAAGTGTGAAACAATTTACTAATAACTGCAGAAGTAGCCCGGCCTCCAAACCTGGGTCATGCATGACATTGTGTATGTATCACTATTACGTATTATGCCCTCCATATATACAGCATAGATAGCTTACTATCAAGTGTGGATCATCTTTCTCGATACCATGTACGGTATATAAAAAAAAAGGGACGAAACAGTTGATGATTGTGTTCATATATATTTTGTGTACTTCAATCCCTTGCTGGTGACTGCCCTCCACACTATGTCAGCCCAACCCTATGTAATACAGCCATGAGAAAAACCTATAAGGTGCTTCTATATAGGCCTGCTGGATTCCTCATCACATTGTATTGAACTCTATAGAACATGCAACTCTGCTGCTGCAAGGCCTCTCTGCTGTAAAACTTGGTGCATTGATGTAATGAAAGTTCGGATGGAAAAGGTCAGAGAGTAAGTCATTGTCAGTGGCCAACTGCAGGAGGGTTCAGAACAGATGAGCACTGTAAAAAACTTTTCAGTGGTCAGGGAATGACCTCTCCAAAGAGACTGCATTCTGGCAATTGAAGTGAATTAAGAGTAGAGGTTAAAAGGGAGGTAAGTTTTGAGAGGCAATCTTAGGGTAAGGTTGAGAATGGACTGTGTATACAGTAGTGGTTGAAAGGCCATTGCTGCTATCAAGCCCATTTCTGATAGATGTGAAAAATTCCAGGTGTATAGTAGCCATTACTGTAATGGCCTTTCAACCACTACTGTCCATTTGTTGTATTTTGAACCTTACCCTAAGATTGCCTAGTATCAAAACTTACCTGTGCCAGCTCTATTAAATCCTTAGGGTTGAGATTGAAGTGGAATGCACTGTGTATACAGTGCCATTACAGTATATAATGAAAAGCACTAAAGTGCAAACCCTCGGCGAACTGCGCATGTGCGGTAACACTAATTGATGGGCTGGGCTTTTTATGCCTTTACTCGTGGTATCCCGCTAATAGCTCGCGGAGAGTCTGGCACGGGCTAGCTACAGTAGTAAATAGCATGCGGGAGTCGATACATGCCCTTCGTTGTGACTTGTTGTGCCTTCAAGACACACAGAGCGAACGGACGCGGTCGAGGTAAGCCTGTGCTAATTTACATATTGGCTTGTTCACTTGGTTTTCACGCCATAACTTTAAAACACAGTAGTTTTACGAAAATCGCCTTTTTTAAAATCAACCCAGTGTAGCACTGAACCCGATCATATCGGTATTTACCTGATTTCGTGCGCGCGGTGGCAGCAGAAAACGTGGTGGTAACAGACAGACGGACTGACGGATGACGGACTGACACACTTACGGGACAACTACCGTAACCCTCGCTGCGCATGCGCGCCGAGGGTTAATGAATGGCTGCTATCAAAGAAACTGGGAGCCCTGCCTTATGGTTGGTATGTTTAGCATGCTATGTTTTCGTTATCTCTAGTCGCGGGTCATATAGGCTGATCCCCGTGAGCAAAAAAGTGTAGCAGATGTCAGTGGTTCCACTAAGTACGGTAGTAAGCACCTAGTATATAGAGGATGGACATCGTACCGTATGACATCATACGATGTATGTGGTGCGTGCTATGATAGGGAGTTTTGTTCACCTTCTTCTTCTTCTTCTTCTTCTTCCTGTTCAACCAGCATAACTCAAAAACCGAAAGAGATAAAGCCATGATATTTTGCAGGAATGTACATATCGATACCTATTGTGAGTTACACCGACACATGTAGTATGCCCATTAAAATATATTGCCCATTATAATGTATTGCCTGGGGCACTTTCGTTGTTGTTTACAGTAAACAACATTGTTTACAAACAAAAAAGTATGACGCTGCACATGTGGTTAAGTGCTATGTGAAAGAAAGTTTGCATACATAATGAATTCAATAGCCAACATCAAAATCACAACAACACATGTTGGTAAATGACAACAAATAGCCTCAGGCACTTTTCTTTAAATAATACTTCTTCACTCCACAAACTTGCTAACTGTAGCACGCATAGAGATGAAACTTGGTGCGTATGCCTATTATATCATTTCCATGACGACCGCATATTGTTCGAAAAGGCCTCAGGCAATTTTCTTTAAATACTTCTTCACTCCTCAAACTTGCTAAACTGTAGCATGTATAGAGGTGAAACTTGATACACATACGTATTAAACTGTTTCCATGACAACCACAACACAAAGTAGCCTCAGGCACTTTACTTACTTCTTCACTCCTCAAACTCGCTAACGGTACCTCACATGGATATGAAACTTGGTACGCATGTGTGTAACATCGTTTCCATGACGACCACAACAACAAATAGCCTCAGGCACTTTTCTTTAAAATTACTTCTCCACTCCTAAAACTTGCTAACTGTAGTACGCATGGAGGTTAAACTTGGTGCGCATGTGTATTACATCATTTCTATGACGACCACAACAACAAATAGCCACAGCCACTTTTCTTTAAAATTACTTCTTCACTCCTCAAACTTGCTAATGGCAGCATACATGGAGATAAACCAATGTATGCATATCATTTCCATGACGACAACGGGCACTTTCTCTATTATAAATTTTATAGGGGCTTGCAGAGATAATACGTAGTAGTATATGAAAATGAGTGGAGACAAGTAAATTAAAAATCCTGCGAATTTAAAAAAGAGTGCATATAGGGATCGTATAAAAAGAAAGGGAGACAAGATAGGGATGGTGTTTGTGGAAGCACAGAGATGCTAGCGAGGAGTTAAGGACTCCCACAGGTCATTACAACAGCCCTATATCATCGTATCGGTGCTTTACTACTTCCTCGTGAATATATCAGCCAACCTTGCATACTTGAATTTTGTTTTCTTGCGTTACACAATTTTTCCATGTTTCCATGTATAAACATGTATATCCAATGTTATGGTCAGCTGATTACACTCCCACCTTAATGCACACTCCATGGAAATGTAGCATGACAAATCTATCAAAGGTAATTAGTAAGTAGACTCTCTCTTCACTCCCACTCCCACCCTACGAAGAAGATTGGAAACTTTCCCTATCATAGCCCCATACATCTATGATGCTAGGTACTCCCACCGTACGACGATATAGGGCTGTTGTCAACTACACACAGAAAAGAAGAAGAGCTTCCCTGGGTGGGATTCGAACCCACAACACTCTATAGTCTAGATGAGGGCTCTACCAACTGAGCCACCAGGGCAACTCAGCTGGTAGGGGTTTGAATCTACACAACATAACACAACACAAAGGCACACCTCAAACCAACTGTGCTATATATGGCACAGTATACGACTCAGTACGTAGGAAAATGGCAGGACATCGTCTCACATGGCATGAACACACACATAAGTCAAACTATGGGCATGGGGAAAGGAAGTAATACATACCTAAAATAATATTGCAACTGAATGTACAATTTCATGGTAAAAGGATTATTGCTAAAATGTGTGTAATCCCATTTCACGAATCATTTCTTCTTCTTATCTTCACTGCAATTCTAAATATGCACAAAACATCCTACCTTGTCATTCAATGTGGGAATTTTCTATGGTGTTAATAACTACCTGTACGTTGGGGACTGCAATTCTAAATATGCGCAAAACATGCGCGAAATATTAAAATGCTAGCGCTTGCTCGTTAACAATTTGTTGCATTCCATGGGGATCAGAACAAGAGATGAGCACTGTAAAAACAATCAGGGAATGACCTCCAAAGAGACTGCATTCCATTCTAGAGTATAGGGTATATATATAAATAGTGCTAAGAGTAGGATTTGGATGGCCATGCATTAAGATCAGTTGATGATAGGCCATAAATCTGTGGTGGATGTGTAATGAAAGTTCATAGTATCACTACTGAGAGTGCATTGTATTAGAGACTGCAGATGTTTTGGGGTATATACCATTATAGTGGACCAGTTTAATGGATTGAATGATGTGTAGAAAGTATAAATGGATTGAGGGTAAAGGTTGATGGCAGTCCATGAAGACCCAATTGTAGTAACTGAAGGCATGAGATGTAGAAAGTGCAAAGAGTGAAACAATTCTGCAGAAGTAACCCTGCCCATGCAAACTTGGTCATGCACGTAGTAGCAAGTGCACAGCATCAGTATGCCCTCCATATGTGCAGCTTACTACCAAGCTATTCTCACTGAGTTTTGGACTTTATGTACGTACGTGGTGTGATTTGACCTGTGCCATCCCTAATCCCTAGAGCGTCTACCAACGTGGATAATCTTCGATATCATGTACAGTCAAAGGATGAAATGGTTGATGATGATAATGATGTGTTCAACTTCAATTTCTCTTGCCGATGACTGCCCTGCACACTATTATGGTAGTTTGAAGCTTACTTGCGCAGCCCCACACTCTAAGGTGCCTGTCTTCTTGGCCTGCTGGACTCTATCACACATTATAGAATGTTTGATAGAGTTCAAAGGTTAGAGTACAACTCTGCCACTACTATATAGGGTTTGAGGAATTAGTGACTCTGTCCCTCTGCTGTTGCAGTTTGATACAGATAGTGGGCCAAGAGAAGTGCCTCAGACCAGCAATTGTTGCACTAGAGTAGCATGAGGAGGAACATTGGAACAGGGAAATTATAGTCCACAGCTATCAAAAAGCATAGACAAGTTTTGATAGGTGATCTTAGGGTAATGAGGTGGAATGGACTGTGTACACATACGGGCCATTACACTAATGGCTCCTCTCAAGCCCATTTCTCTGATAGCTGTGAAAATTTAGCCTCCAGACATGCTAAGTACAAGCTCATTACTACCCCATGGTCCAAAGTCCGTTCCCCTTGGTAGCATAGCAGCCATTACTGTAATGCCCTTTCAACCACTACTGTGTATAAAGTCCACTCCACTTCAATCTTATACCTTATCAAAACTTATTGTGGTCTATAAAACCCTTGGGTAAGGTTGAGACCAGTGGAATGGACTGTGTATACAGTAGTGGTCAAAAGGTAATGGCTGCTGTCGTCAAAGACTCTATGACAGTGTGCAAATTGGGGTGCATTCGCCCATGCATGTCATGCACTCCAATGTATACAGTACCTGCATGGCTAGTAACATGAAGTTGAAGGGAAGGTAGAACGGTCCATTTGGGTAGACAAGGAGACAGATGTAGAGGGTGGAGTAGAGAGCCTTTGTTACAAACCAGTAGATCCTGAAGAGGAAGCTGTGGGCAATGATGATTGTGTGTTAGAGCCACAATTATAACATACGCATGACAGAAATAGATGATAAGGTGACGCTAAATCTGCGAAAGGTCCTGTAAAGTAAGAAAAATCACACCAAGTTCTACTTCTGCCAATCCCATAAACATGTGCCCGAAAGGACTGCAATAGTGGGAATCACTATTCGGTAGCAAACAGGAGGAAGCCAATGTTGGCACATGTCACCACCCAGTGAACCGCCCTCCCGCCCTGCTCCTTGAAATATAGAATGAAATTGTACAATATTATTGTACAACTGCCGCGGGGGGTGTCCTGCCAAGATAACGAACCCGGTAATTAGCAAGAGGATGCTCACGGGTCACGTGACCAAGTTAGGCAGCCCATGGGACAACCATGTGCCATCACGTGACCTGCCGTGAATGCATGACAATGAGGGTGTGGCATGACAGTGCGTAAGTCTATGAAAGTATGCAAGTTAGGGTGCATTCGCCCATGCATGTCATGCACTCCAATGTATCGTACAGTGTTCCTCTGGGGATAGCTGCCAGGAATGGACATACTGAGGCAGTTCAGAGACTCCTTGAAATAGAGAATGGACTTTGACCCCTCCAGGAATACGTCTCCAGTATCGTGGATGAAGATGAGGAACACCCCAATGATGAACATTTGACAAATCTTGTTATTGGTGAGCAAACATATGCAGTGCACATAGATATTGGTGAGCGAAGCAAGCCTACCTAGTCATTTCAATGTGGGAATTTTTCCTATGCTGTTAATAACTACCTGTACGTCGGGGACTGCGATTCTAAATATGCGCAAAACATGAGCGAAATATTAAAATGCTAGCGCTTGCTCGTTAACAATTCGTTGCATTCCTCTAAATGCATGTGGATCAGAACAACAGATGAGCACTGTAATAACAATCAGGGAATGACCTCCAAGGACTGCATTCCATTCTAGAGTAAATTCCATTCTAGAGTAAAGGGTAATTGATGTATAGATAGTGCAAATGGAGTTAAGAGTAGAGGTTAATGGATGTGGATGACCATGCATTAAGAATTGATGATAGGCCTTCCAATCTGTAGTGGATATGAAAGCTGGCCAGGGCAGGCATCATAGTAGAGGTTAATGGATGTGGATGGCCATACATTAATAATTGATGATATATAGGCCTTAGAATCTGTAGTGGATGTGTAATGAAAGTTTACTGGCTGAGGGCAGGCATCATAGTAGAGGTTAATGGATGTATATTTTGTGGATGGCCATACATTATGATGATAGGCCTTCCAATCTGTGGTGGATGTGTACTGAAAGTTTATAGTATCACAACCAAGAGTGCATCTACAAGTGGAAAAATCATTTCTTCAAAATGAAAGGGGGATATAGGGATGGCTTGAAGCACCAAAAAGGAAGAAACAAGGGGTCATTACACAGCAAAGTTGCACAAAGCTACATGACACCATCCCTATATCTTTGTTCGATATTAACCCTTAGCAAGCCACGGGCATATATATATATGCCCAGAGCCTCCATAAGTCCATAAGGATTTATATAATTATGTCTATAATACTATATAGGCGTTAATATGTTATACATCAATTTCTGCTTAAACTTTGCTTATAAACAATAAAACAAAGATATAGGGATGGTGTCATGTAGCTTTGTGCAACTTTGCTGTGTAATGACCCCTTGTTTCTTCCTTTTTGGTGCTTCAAGCCATCCCTATATCCCCCTTTCATTTTGAAGAAATGATTTTTCCACTTGTTTCCACTATTTTTAACAGCTTATGACAACACTGTATATATTGTTACAGTCACTCTGATGTTCATGGGTATGTTGTAGATAGGCTACCATAGACAAATTGTAACTGTTCAAAGTAGTAGCTAATGGGGCTGCTAGTGCCTGAAGCAGGGGCTAGATCCGCATTCACCTCATGTATTGTCTTCAACAAGGATGTAATTAGATTATTGCACATAGTTGTGGTTTCATGGGCAGCCTTTGGTAATCAGGCTACAACCTGGGGGGGGGACAAACAATGAAGGCCCATTTCAGCGCCCAGCAAGGCTCGCGTAACACCGCGCAGACTCTGGGAAGTTGCTCTTCGTACAAATCAACAGCAAGCTAGCCAGTTGGAAATGTGCACACTTACTTACAGAAGGTACTGGAGGCTGAGAGTTCCTCTGCAGGTCTGCCAACTCACGCTGCATTGGACAACGCCCCTGCCTGGCGCATGCGCGAGGTCACGGATGCTGAGTAAGCAGCAAATGGCGTTGTTCAGTGTCGACCATGGAAGAGCTCCATGATCTACCGTAGTGACTAGCGGCAAGAAAGAAACGATCGCTTGATGTCCCTGCACACCTCCGGCGAAATTAGAGACCTTCAGTGAAAAAATCAGTGCTTGAACTGGTACTGGTAAGGAGATAGCGGGTTTAAAGAAGAAGAAGAAGATGAAGAATATGATGACACGAAAATCGTGAAATCGCGTATGAGCGAATTCTCGCGTGGACGACTGAAGGTGCGTATGAGCTCTTGGGGGACATGTATAGGTAGATATGGGCCCGTAGACTATTGCTAGTATGTTTTGAAGGCCTAGGAAGTGATTCTCACCGAGTTTTTAGTCGTTTTGTACGCGGATCACGTGAGATTTCACCCGTGTCATCCCTATATAGAGAGTCTACCGACTCTCTAATAGTAGGCTGCAGATGTTTTGGGTACCATTATAGTGGACCAGTTGAATGGATTGAATGATGCGTAGAAAGTGTATATAAATGGATTGAGGGTAAAGGTTGATGGCAGTATTCCATGGAGACCGAATTGTAGCAATTGAAGGCATGAGATGTAGAAAGGATAATTAAGCAAAGAGTGAAACAATTTACAAATGAAAAGCACTGAAGTGCAAACCCTCGGCGCATTGTGACGCGCACGCGTAAGTAAACGCATGCGCCGTACCACTAATTGATGGGCTGGGTTTAGTTTTAGCTGTTACTCGTGGTCTCTTCCGAGCTCGCGCAGAGTCTGACGCGGGCTAACTACACTACTAGATAGCATGCGAGAGGCGATACACGCCCTGCGTTGCATCTTCTGGTGCCTCTGAGGTACGCAGAGCACGCGGATCGATCATACCGTGGTAAGCCGTCCCGTCCGTTGCCTATTTGCATATTAGCTTTTTCGCGCTCTAGCTCTGCAACGGAGCAGTTTCAGAGAAAACCCCACATATTTTCTGACCTTCATTGCCCGTTCAGTAGGTGGTATCATTTGTGAGACGAACGAACACTCGAGAAGTGAGATGACGAGTAACAGACAGACACACACACACACACACACACAGACAGACAGACAGACACACAAACCCAACTACCTTAACCCTCGCTGCGCATGCGCGCCGAGGGTTAATAACTGCAGAAGTAGCCCGGCCACCAAACCTGGGTCATGCATGTGTATATAATTATAGTATATAAGTGCATGAAAAAACATGTTTATAGCATACTAGCTCAGAGGAAAAGAAAGAACCTCCCCCACCCAAGCACACAAAACACAGACAATAACATACCCAAGCGTACAAAAACACAGACAATAACATATAAACAGAAAGAAAGAGGCAGGACCCTGGGTGCCCAGCCTTGAGAACCGGGGCGGTAGGTTAAAGAGTCTTTTATTGGCCCAACTCTCCCTACACACCCAGTGTCCCAACCTCCCTTACACATAGTTATAAAATAAATAGATAGAAATCATGTACAAAAAACGACAGCTACAGGATAAAAACAATGCACACCATCACTATTATATGCCCTCCATACAGCATAGATAGCTTACTAACAAGTGCGGATCATCTTTCTCAATACCATGTAGAAAATACCATGATGTCAAGAGAAACGGTCAAAAAAGGGATGAAACAGTTGATGATTGTGTTCGTATTTTGTGTATATACTTCCCTTGCTGGTGACTGCCCTCCAAACTACGAGAAAACGTTTAAAGTGCATGTCTTCTTGGCCAGCTGCTGGATTCCTTATCACATTGTATTGAACTCTGCTGCTGCAAGGCCTCTCTGTTGTAAAACTTGGTGCATTGACGTAAAAGGGTTTAAAAGGGAGCTTACACAGAAATGTTTTGATAGGCAATCTTAGGGTAAGGTTGAGGGTAGCTTCCAGGCATGCTAAGTATGAGAAAACAGCTCTTTTACCTACTACATGCTACCCCATGGTTCCAAGTCTCTCCTTTGCAGCCATTACGTAATGACCTTTAAACCACGACTGTATACACAGTCCATTCTCAACCTTACTCCTATCATAACTTATCTGTGCAAGCTCACCCTTAGGGTAAGGTTGAGATTGAAGTGGAATGCACTGTGTATACAGAAGGTAATGAATAGCTGTAACTGGGGGACCTTCCTTATGGTTGGTGTGTTTAGCATGCTTGGGTTTCATTAAGTCACATGAGATGCACATTTTTGAGAGCTAACTTGCACTGGCTTGACAAGTTGGTAGCCACTCAGATTTTCTTTTGTGCTCTACACTTTCTTCCCTTATTTTTGCAGCAAGAACTTGATTACGGATAGCACTAAAGAGTCCGCCGTGAATAACAGTCCGATTCTGCCAGTGCCGGGGAGCAGTCTGTGTAGCTATGGATGTAACTGCATAAGTTGGTAGGCACTGCAGTTTGTGCATAACGTACTTATGGATCTTTTTGAACTCAGTTACGCAGAACCGATAAATTTGTGTTTCTCTCACTTGCAATTTGCTCATTTCAAACACTCGGTGAAGAGTGGTTAGAGAGTTCCTCCAATTTCCTGATTGCTACTATGACACTCAACAGTGCACTCTTCAGAACTTTGTGAACAAGGCTTTGTACTTCCTGTGCTAGTGATTCTCTTTAGCTCTCCAGTCAGCATCTAGGTAGTAGTAAGCTATTGCCATGTATGACAGCTAAGCATATGGATGGAGTCTTGAATCAAAGTATACACATGCAGCATTAGAAGAACTGTTTTTCCATCTGAGGAAACGGTATTCAAAAGACTTCTCAGTTTCAATCAGAGAGAAACATTTTCAGTTGATATTCCGGCATTAGTTGCAGCTTTAAAAGGAATGTGGCAATATAGGGGCTAAATTTTAATTGCACTGGTTTGGCACCATTTTAGTAACATTTATACTGATGTAATTATACATTCCCTTCAAGTCCTTGACTCAGCTACACAAAATTAGTACAACTCTCCCTTTAACATTTGCAACAGTCAATTATGTCCAAGACAGCGTGAGACATAGTGCATATTCATTAATGGTATATAGTAGGATACGAGTGTAATATGGAGACCCAAAATGATATAGCTGTGTACACAGGTATGTATATAGGCCTACACGTGACTGCTAGACTGATTTTCAGGCTGAGCAAAATTGGATCAAAAACTGTTCTTCGAGAAATGGAAGGTGTCCTTATTAGAGAAACGTGTGCACATAATGCAATATTTATGAACTAGGGTGCAGTGTTGATGTATGACATCACATCTCGGAGTTCGTTCACCACAATGTCCTCAGTTGGATGGACAGTATCAGAGAGCACGGCTCTCCTCTCCTCAAGATAGCTCTGGTCGCCCACAAGATTGACCTGGAGGACGACAGACAAGTCTCAGTGGAGGGACAGAAGGTTTGCTGCAATCCTGACCCTTTGCTTGCAGTAGGCCTAACCTTCTGGATGCTGTAGTTTGCATATTATTATACTATTATGGTGACAAAGTAAGTATGAGTTACATTACAAGTGGCTAATAATACTGTTGGATACCTTTTCTCATGCAGCTTGCAGAAACCTACAATTGTCTCTTCTTTGAAGCCAGCTCCAGGGCTGGCAAGAACTGTGTCAAGGTATTTACCATCGAACTTTGTACTATAATGCACCTAATGGTAAGTGAATGTATGGGGTTTCCTGCTAATATTAGGTATTCAATATGTTGGCACAAGAAATCAAGAAAGCAAAGGATGAATTGAATTATGTAAGAATCTTACCACCTAGATTTCACTCCAAACATGAAACGTACCTTTAAAACATTGAAAGTGTCCTCTTTTCAGAAGTGTCCCTTATTCATAGGTTGCAGAATCAAGTGCTTTATCGAATGTCGTCCTTTTTAAAAGGTTTCACTATACTTCCCCCACGCAGATCAAGGCCCACAACTCCATGCCAGCCACAGAGGCCAGTAGAAGGATACTGGCAGAGAATGACTTGAACTCTAGTGGTAGTCAGAGTAGAGGAAAGACTTCCTGCTGTGCCAGATAACTAGCTCAGTCTACAACAATGTGTATACCATAATTATTATGTGTTATTGCCTCAATTAACGAATATGCTCTTGCTGTATAATAATTATCATTGTATAATTCCTGCATAGTTGTATCCATTGTCCAGATATTATAGCTATCACCTACTTGTGTCACATTAGACCAGCATGCATGAGTGCCAAAGTCTGGCCAGTGCCGGTCAATACTCGGCACACATGCACACCGTGGTTTGCGAGCAATACAGCATCAGCATCAGTATAGTTGCGTGCGCAATATAAAGTCCACTAACAAACAGCATGTTACGACAACCTATAAAGCTACTCAAACTATAATTTTTGTCCCATGTTCATAAGTTCTTATATAACTCTCTTGACATTGTTCGTAACTGGGCCATCATGGAGGCACACATGGATAATTAGCATAGTCGTAAAGGAGCATGTCCTGAAGTATGTGGAAGTTATTTTCAAATTCTTCAAAATTTGAGAAACTCCAGGGGCGATTCATGTTTGGAGTATTAGTCATACATTCTATATTTTGAGGGTTTCCAACGCCGATAGCATAAGTTTCAATACCATCTTCACATCTAAGGCAGTCCATTTCCTGACACACACGTTCCGGTCCTCCTGGACCATTTGCACCTCCGTCAGTGAAGAATACAACCCTAACATCCTGGCAGCCCTGTACCATTCCACAGTTATAAAGTATGTCGTTACAAACACACTGTATAGCACCAGAAGTATGGGTATACCGAGTTCCTGTACCATGTACGTACGGGATGGAACATATAGCATTGGTAGCATGGGCTCGTCCACAACTGCTGCCGTCATATTTATTAAAGCAGAATTCAATGAAGTACTCGTGGTCAAAGGTCATAACAGCTACTTTGGTGCGGTCACAGAGAACAGGAACCAGTTGTCCCAGTGCAGATATGACTTTGTTGAAATTTGATCCACCAATGCTGCCAGATACATCAATAACAAAGAGGACATGCTTATAATGGCAATTTCCCATACTCGTTCGTTTATGTCGCAAAAGGTCTTCAGCAGTAGAGCTGAAAGGCAATGAGGAAGATTTGGTCTGAAATGTTGAATCAATTAATACATTGTCATCTGTGGGACTCTCTTGAACAGAACGACGACCTGTGTATAGAAAAATAGTGCTGAGACTGACAGAAACATACATTTGCCTTACCTTGATTATGAGGTACAGTGTAACTCGGGCACACTTTCCGGGGTGGGGATATGGACGGTGGTGCGGGACAGCCGGTAACATCAGCTATATCTCCACGACGGTAACGAGATCCAGAAGTCTGTGTTGTATTACTCGGCAAATCTCCATATCGATGTCCCACTGTCTGCCAGTCACAGGCTCTAATTATCTGATCCACATCCAAACTGGATCTGACCAATCGATGATGTGCGTGAGAATTAGCAGTGTAGTGTGACACGAACTGGACACTAACGGCTGGGAGAAACACATCGTGATTCGGCCCCTCTCCCTGATGACCTCCGCGCAGCTTAGCCTTGCCGCCCTAAATTGTCCCGACACTCAGGTGCAGTGAGGGTCAGCAGTGTATAAGGAAACAAACGAGCGATTGGGCCAGCGTATCGAGGTAGAATTAGAAAGGACAAAGCAAAGCAAAAGTCAACATACATACTCATCATCTAGATATCTTGGCTAGTTGATAGGTTGGGCCACCTTGAGCACGCTTATGCAGAAGTCATCTTCTTACTAATGGTAAGGAATGATGTATTTTTGGCCACACAAGGCTGCCGGCAATCTAAAAACAACTTACATGGATCGTGTATGTTCAATGGGAAAATGAGTGTGATCATGCAGTATGCCACTAATGCGTCTCTGCCTCGTTGGATGTCAGGCAGTGGGACATGAGAACTGTACTAGTTTGTATGTGTATGTGTGATATTGCAACCAATTCAGTCCACTTATGGATTATGTACGAGTGCAGTGAGTGAAGAGATCGCAAGGCCATCACTGCGGAGGACATGAATAACTATGGGAGTGGCCTGGCAACAAAGTGACATGCTACCTGAATGATAAAGAGGCGTAAGATGAAAACTTAAAAACATGATGTGGGCTGTAGGGACTGTTAGTGTGAGAAGAAATTGGTGAGTAAATAATATTCGTTGAAACTGCCCACATTTACATTGAAAAGTGTAATGGCGCGCGGCGTAATTGACCGCGCAACTTAGTGGCGCGCACGCGCACATTTGCTCGCGCCTGCACCCAATGTCCGAGGCCGACGGAGGGCCGCCGTGCGCCGCGCCGCCTCTACTGACTGCGCGCGAAGCAAGAAACTCCGAATTGCGCGCACTGCGGAAGCTAGACTCCTTACGTATGACGGTAAGTTACACTTCCTTTGGTGACTAATTGACATGCCTAGCGTGACTATTTTTGTGCATTCTTTAATAAACACGGGAATAATCCAAACAAGACATGTAGGGTTAGAGTTGTGTTCGTCCTGGGCAGAGATGTGGCCTTCTGAGCAAGCCACACCATTGAGTCTCCCCTGAGAAGGGTGGAGTTGGTGGAGAGGTGACCTGGCTCACCGGAGGGAGGCACATGATGGCAGACTGATGAGGGACAGGCTCAGGCGGTCATCTCATCCAGTGAAGTGTTGTGCTGTACTGCAGGTTGTGTTTCTCTGAGATGAGTGCTGCAGTCTCGTGTAGGCTGTTGTTGTTGTTGCGGCCCCATCCACCAGAGGTGCTGATACGAGAGGATGTGAAGGATCCGGTTCATTTCCGAACGCGCTGTTCGTGGTCCTGCTCTTTTCGTTCTTGCCGTTTGCGTTTGTGGCATGGTGCTGAGTGTAGATGTCTGTGCGTTTGTGCAAAGGGTTGAAAACTCTGATGTCAAAGTAGGCTTGTTGGCGATCTCTTCCCCAGAAGTTTGTTGCAAAACATCGAGGCGGGTTGCCTCTTCTCGGTTGGCTGTTCTGTGGCGCAGTTGCTCTCCGGTGATGGTGAAGGTGAGCAGTGCTGACATTGTGGCATAATTCCTTCATCATTTCTGCTGTAATGTCTCGGAGTTCGTTGTGTCGGATTGCGGGATCCTCCTCGAGAGAGCTAAGTGCGCGTGTTCGACTGTAAAATTCTGGTTGCAGATGCAGTGAGATGGGAGGTTTATATGGTGGGTGCCAGCCGTACCTGAGACAGAACGCGTCTCTGAATGCTCCTTTATGGAGAGCAAACCTGTGTTCGGCTATCGGTAGGGTGGTGAGCCAGCTGATGCCCTTTCTGTTGCTGCGTCTATAGCTCTTTTCAGAGTTGGTGGGAGCTTTTCATTTGCTTCTCTGGCTTCTTGCTGTTCGAAGTGTTGTGAGTTCTGTTCTTTGCTGTTGTTGTGCTGCTCTTGCTGGGGTGGATATGATTTTGACTGGACTCAGAATGAGTTCCGCGAGTGGGGCTGTGATCTTATCGCATGCTGAGATGATGAAGCTCTGTTAGTTTGGTGGGATCGACGATTCCAAGTCCTCCATGTCGTATGGTAGGGCTAACAGTTGTCTGTCCAGGTCATTGCAAGCATTTTGACCTGTTACGGCGGGAAGTAGTTTCTGCCTGATGGCGTCCTCGAGGGGTTTCATGTGGCTCTCATTATTAGGACTGTCCGGCTGAGGTAGGTCCATTTGCTGATCAGGCCATGCGTGAATGCTGAGTAGGCAGCGTGAGGTTGTGTGATCGCGATGTTTGACAGCTCTTCTACTTCTTGTGTCCACTTGGCAACTTTCTGTTGTACATAGCTGTTGACGAAGCGTGTTGTACCTATGGCAGCCCCAAGGAGCTTTCTGCCATCAGATGTTATGGATACGTTTGTTCCTCGGAAGATGCTGTGGGCCTCTTCAAGTTTCTCTTCCTTTACGACTAGCCATGTTTTTGCCGCGTTTGGAAAGTACCCGTACTCAGGGCCTTTTTTGGTGATTTCGTCCCACCATGTTTTGAGGTTGAGCATGACTAATTGACGACGTACGTGCGAGAATGAACCCGAATGAAAAGACCATACCCAAATAAAAACACACCATACCCAAATGAATATACCTTACACCCTAATTGAGCGACTGCACCCCTGTGTAATTTTGACACTGATCTCCCCCTATACCGAGAATACAACCTGGATGGGCGTGGCAATATTCCGCGCATGCGTAATTGTTTGAATAGGGATGGTGTCATGTAGCATTGTGTGTCTTAGCTGTGTAATGACCTCTTGTTTCTTACTTTTTGGTGCATCAAACCATCCCTATATCCTCCTTCATTTTGAAGATTTTCCCACTGTTTCACTATTTTGAAAGCTCTGACAAGCAATTGAAATGCAGAGGCTGATATATACGGCAAACAATGTGTCTATAGCACGGCTCTCCGGTCTCGCAAAGTTTCTCCTCATGCAAATCAACAACAAATCGTTGTCTAGCGGAGCCAGCCCGTCCAAAGGAGCCGGCTCCGTGAGACTGCAGGGAGAATGAAGGTGCGATATCGAACAAATTTTCCTCCACACAAACCCCATATTGTCGCCACTTTTACTCGCAGCATGAATTTGTTTAGTGTGAGGACAATGGTAAAGGGATTCTCTGGAGGGCCACGAACACAGCATTGTAAAACTCATCGTTATTTGAGTGAACATGGAAGTCTTAGTGCAGTCACAACCAACAACTGAGGAGCTGTCAGAGAGGGCAACACCTGTGCATTACGTGCTTAGGAAATGAGTCATTCTATGAGGGAGCACAGTCATACTTCGCAACTTGTGTGGAGGAAAATTTACACGAGGAAACAATGTCAGTTTGAAGATGTAGCCATCATCCATTCTACTACTACATCACATGCACTAGGTCATCCCTGTCTTGTCTCCTTGCTTTTTATGGCATCCCTATATTATATTCCACGCATTATGAATTCGAAGAATTTATTATTTACTTGTTATTATTTATTATTACAAGTGGAAAAATCATTTCTTCAAAATGAAAGGGGGATATAGGGATGGCTTGAAGCACCAAAAAGGAAGAAACAAGGGGTCATTACACAGCAAAGTTGCCACAAGCTACATGACACACATCCCTATATCTTTGTTCGATATTAA